AGGAACGGCTGCGATAATTAATGGTTACTTTTAAGGTGCTCTAAAACGCGTCAAAAACCGGCAGCAGTTTCGTTCGATGATTTACGACGTGCTAAACGAGAACCTTGCACGGCTGATTCTCGTTCCTGACGTGCGTGTCTTCGTCTCTCATTTGCATACATCTACGTATGTATGTACGTTTCTGCACGTGCCACGAGATCGGTACACTGGTTTGGATTTCAAGTGCTTGGCAAACAAGTTACACGTTACAGAAACTGTCTCCGCGAAGTAGATGATGAGAGGAGAACACCTGGATAAACGTGGAACAATTTGGACGTTTCTTGTCTTTTGTGTCGGAAGAATTAATTTCATGAGTGAAGGAAATGAGAAGATCCTTACGAAATGGAATGTGACATAACCCACTGAGAATAATATTACTTTGATAACATTCATTTGATAACAATATTATTTCTTCTATGTTACGTACTTTTCTTTTAACCAGCCTTTAGTCTTGTGTAATTCAGGTTACAAAAGTAATTTATTACAAGGGACTAAAGAAATATGACCACTTTAGGCTTATAACGCCTTGGGCTGACTTATTATTGATTGTGCTACTACTTAGAGCTGCATAATAGTGAAACAGGCAAATGAGTTTCGCAAAACGTTTTATCTTCTTTTTCATTAGACACAAATATTGTTATCTGAATATTACATCGTGCTGTTACATAGTTAGTAAATTTAGATTGCATATAACACGTTGGGCTGACCTATAATACTGAAAAAGGGAAATGAATTTCACAAAACGTTTTGTCCTCCTTTTTATTTTGATGGAAACAGATTACTGTTCGGCCTTTGCATATAACATGCTCCCATAGTGAGGGCATATACAATTTCAAACGAGTTTTTCGAAAAATGCTTCATTCAAGCTCTTTAATGATGTAATACAAAATAGGAAGCCTGGATAAAATGAATGAATAAAATATTGAGTTGAATGAAAAGTTCATTTATATTTTAAAGAAACGATTTCATACATAAATGTTATAAACGTTTTGCAATTTTTCCACTGTTTCAATTTTACCCACTGACATTTTTGAACTTGAAATATTTGTTAATCAAATAATCTCCACGTTAAAATTGAAAATGTTTTCTAAATCATAAAGCAAAAATATTTAATTCAAGGTAAGAAAAAAATTAACGAATAATGAGAACACAGTAACTCGTCTTTCTTCTATTTTATTTTTAGGCCTTTTAATCTTCCCCATTCAGAACTGTTCATCCCCTTGGTAACACGGATCGCCAGCTGTTTTTTCATCTTTCCGGTAGCGGTAACAATTATTGTGCCTTAATATCTCATTAAATCTGTCTCCTTTCTTTTAAATCACTCGCTTCCTGGTCCGCTCGTAATTACAACTCTCTCTAATCTGCACCTATACCTGCCTTCTATTCCCTACCCCGTTTTCTTCCTTCCATTTTATTTTCCTTCGGAAACAACCACCGTTTCCTTCTTTTTTTATTTTTTATTCGTTACACAACGCGTACTCTATCGCCCGCTCTATTTGTGTAAGAAATTAGTTTCAGCCGCGCGACACTTTTATTATTCCCACGAACACACGCTTTTTACAAATTAATAATTCCTTTTCTTGTGGTTTTATTACGAGCGCGACACGGATCTTTCGAGCCTCCGCTCGAGGTCATAAACGAAAGTAACCCTCGTTTTCTCTTTTTTTTTTCTAATGGAACGATGGCTCCTCTTTTATTGAAATTTATAGCACACGTTGGGAGAATTCCACCGAGCACCCTTTAGAGGGAAATAAACCTGACCTTTATTGCTTCAAACATTAGGAGCACGAAGGAGATTTGAAATATGTGCTGTACGTTCACCCCCTTTCGACGTTAAGTAAACTTCGAACATTGATCTATGGGAATATACGGCCGTCTGATGAATCCAACACGATTTCAAATTTTTTTCAATTCAATGCGACATCGATTTATTATTCTGTCATATTTAATTCAGATATTATTTAAATCACAGCTTTTACTGAATGACTCTGGTATTTATAGTAACTATTAAATATTCCTTTGATTAGCTTATAAAAATTCAGAGAGTTCTTATCTCAGCAATTGTCAAGCTTGTACTATGAAACTTTAATGTTTTTAAATGAACGACTTCCGCAGAAACTTAGTACGAATAACTGAGAAATATAAATATCTAAAATGACTGCTCTGGAGTGAATTATATATTTTATTCTGTTATTGCATTTTCCAATGGAGAAGAAAGAAACTTTCCTGAACCTCAACTTTCCATTTTCATATTTCAAATCGAAGACAGGAACTGACAGATATCTCATATTATCGGAAAGCAAATTTGCAAAACTACACGAATAATATAAATCGACAGATATTTCATATTATCGAGAAGGAAATCTGCAAATCTAAGTGAGGAAATTGTACTTTGTTTCAAGTACTTAAACCTGGAAACCTCGTTACTTTTATCAAAGGTACATCCTATTCTTCGACGCGTCTTTGGGAACTTCACTTTCTCAATTCAATTTTCAATAGGAAAAAGCAATTCCCGTGGAAATTCGTACCACCGTAAGACGTAACACTTTCACGCGGGTTGACAAGAAAATCTAATGACAAATTTCCACTGGAAATAAGATCTTCGTCGGTGACATTAGCTAAACAGCGACAGTTCCCGTAGAGCAGATGGAGCCAACGAACGAACCTAGCGTTTCACTACAAACGGTTTAATTATCTCACTGTCTTGCGTTCCGATTTAACCGGATGAAATTATATCGCGAGGAGAATTGAACCGAATGTATTTCGTCGAGTCAAATTGAACACGAGTCTACAGTTTCGGAAATCTAACAACATTGACGCAGTATAGATCTTTGTAATTAACAATTCATACCTATGTTACCAAATTACAATAACCACCGTCAAATTCTAAATAAACTGTTTTAAACTTTCGTTAAATTGTACTACTGAATTTCCATTCAAAACTTTTTGTTTTTATATTTTGCATTTCCACCCTTTCACTGTAGAAGAGTGCAATACGAAACGTAATAAATTCAATACCAGTGACACCTATTTCATAATAAATAATATATTAATTATTTCGTGTGAAGAGAAAGTAAAGTATGCTCAAAAAGTGGAAGTGTCCATTTTTCTCCTTTAGTTCCCACCCCTTGAATACTATTATTTTTGCCTTGGATCACTTTATAAATTCTCGGAGTTTCATTCAAACCAATGAATAGCTAAAGGTTCGTGGTTTTTCCTTGCGAAACCAGCTACCAAACGCTCGAACCGTCGAGATGAAAGCTTACGCATATCTGGTCACCGCGTATCGTGAGTTATACATTTCCGGATTTACGGCTCGTAATATCATTACGTCGAATCACTGGATTCCATTCGCCACCGCTGGCTCGAGTGTTCGTTTCGTTCGTTCTGTCCTACCTTCTCTCCTCTTTCCTTTTTTTTTTTTTTCACTTCCACGGGAACTGTAAAAGAGTGCGAGGTTGGGGTGGAAACGGGCAGGACGAAACCGTAATATCCGAGAGAAAATTTGTTCGGCGAAATGAAATTATCCAAGCGACGATCTTGCATTATACTCGCGGCTGTACGTGACCGGCATAACGTGCCGTCTTTCTAATACATGGGAATAGGTATCGAACGCTCGTATCGTAACTTCCGTCCTCTAAAATCGGTAGGACGTATTTGCCTGGTATACGTGGTTGACCTTACACTTCTTTCGCAGCATACCAATTGATTAGTTCTCCTCCATTGGCAGGCAGTTTTAAAGATTGATCCTTGCACATCGATACAAGTCAATTTCGACCCATAATAATGTAAAAAGTAGAAGAGCTAATGATCGAAATGATTTGATACCTGTACGAAAGTATTCCTACCCCTCTGATACCTATCGCCTAATACGTGAATTTTAAATAATTAAAGCATACCTTAATCGAAGGCCTGTTATTTAAAATAAATCGAAATGACGAAGTGTTATTTGAAATAAAATCTGCTTTAGTATGGTTTCCAGCAGGGTAAACGGTTGAGGGAAAACGAAAAATTGGGGCATTATCGATGCGTTTGTTACAGTTACACACGGATTGACTTAGCTTTGATCGAACACGAGTTGTATGAAGCACGTCAAAGAACCTCGGACAATTAAGCGGAGCCGAGGTTCAACGGAAGAACTTTGAAACAGCGCAACGACGCCGTTGAAACACAGAAGAAACGGGATTAACGAGAAAAAGTTCGACGCCGCGTCGCTCGAACGGTTTTAATTAAACCGATGGCGCAAACACCGCGCGCCCAGAGCAATATTTTTACACGTCCTACATTCTGACACGAAGATCGAACATTGTTCCTCGTCTATTTTCTTAGTTATCGAACTACCCTTCGATGATATCTCGCGGAATTAATTTCTACCCTGCGATCCGAGCCGACGGGGTTACCTTCGGAAAATGCATGCTATCCAACGTTGAACGCGTCGCGGAAATTCATCCCGAGAGAGTGATAACTAGTAGCCGCGTCGAAATAATAGACCGCTTACTTATCCCGTTGGTGCACGCGCGGAAATTACGTTTGCCTCGGTTCGACCGTCACGGGGTTAAATATCTCCACGCCGCGATAACGCGAGATTTCGATAATCGATCGATCGAGAATCGATGCTCGTTACTTTGCGAAACTTACCCTAAACCACCCCTTAAAACGATACACATTTTAAATTATAATATTATAGACCATGTTATAATCCTTCATAGAGGCGAGTAGAGAGCGAATTCCCCTCGATTTTCCCTCCCCAGTAATTGTCATCATAATCTCTCATTAATGACCACTGTTCGTTAGAAATGTGAATCTCAGCTTGCTAATTCTAAATTACAATATCGCGGACCATGACGAACGTATTCGTTATCATTGCACGTCTGTCCGTCGCTGAAATCTCTATGGTAGATACATTTTAAGTGCACCCGCATATGTCCTAACAGCATGACATGATTCGAATGATCACTTACGTGTTCGTCAGGCTGGTAGATAAAAGCTTCGTAACGGAGACTCAATCGTGGTTGGCCATACCGTAACACACACCCTTACGCGCACGTTTTTCAATTCCTCTTCTCTTACAATTTACAAGGGAACAATATGTAAATCCGTCGATACTATACGATTAGACACTAATCTTCTACTATTTGATGGTGGTTAATTAGCGGATCCAGGCTGTCTAGATCATTCTTCCATACGACGATCGATATAAAATCCTGTCCGCTTTAAAATCGCAAGTTCCTTCAGCGATCTTTACCTTTTTTTCACGGATCGTTTAAAAAGAAAATCTGGATCACGATCTATAAATGATCACTGGATAGTTTACAACGTCGAACACTTTTCTATCAGCCCGCGTTCTCCGAGTACGAGTTACGAGTTTCCGCGTCGGAGATTCGGCGAACCGTGTGCGGCCCGCACCCTCGCACGAGACAAACTCAGACTTCCTCGAGCCGGTAGGATGCCGACGCCGACGCCGACGCTGACGCCGGCGCTGCCACCGCTGTTCGCCGGGGGTCGAGGATGGCTCCAGCTTCGCGACTGCGCCCTTTCGCCTCTCTTCAACCCATTACGCTTCTCACCGGTTCGCGCGCACAGACGTAAACACACGTATAGGACAGACCTTATCGTAGCAGAGGCGCGGCGTGTACGATGTAAGGCCAACACGTTTTCACTGCTGCGCTCGCGAACTCTACTGTAATAATGTTCACGTGTGTGTGTGTGTGTGTGTGTGTAAGAGGGGATGCGTTGCTTCTTTACCACCCCTTTTGCAACCCTCTCGGCCGCAACACGTAGCCTCGCAGCCACTCACCCTGCCTCCGCGTACGCCCCGCGATATATCATCGTATCGCTTTATGTCCCCCCTTCCATCCCTAACGTAACGTTTTATTAACCAGAAATCAAGTGTGCCACGTTCCTTCGCACCCATCCTTCACTTTACGATTCAACGTCGTTGCGACAAACCCAAGTGTTTGTGATCTTGATGATTGAGATGAAAGAACGGGGTGGTTGGACGAGGGATACTTGTACAAATATGGGTTTTTATGGAAAATATTTAGAGACATTTGTTTTGTCATTAGATGCTTCTAAAAATATAAGGTGGGTGTAAATAATTTGGTCAGTGTTTTTAAGATTTTCAAGAAAAGAAAAGAAGACTCGACCATTAATGGACAAATGAACATATTACTACCAATTTTTATTTACGATGTTTCAATCCTTTCTTGGACTTCCTTTATCCCTTAGGGAACGGCGAAAACGTCATAACTAAAATTGATGATAGCACTTTCGTTCATCTATCCGATATTAGCTTTTTCTTCAAATTTCTTTGGACTATTCGAGCATGAATAATAATTCATGCGTTATTGGTAATACATTGATAGCAATAACAGAAAGTTTTTGACAAGTCATTCATTGTAAAGAAAATGTTTGTGATTAATAAAATTAGTTATCCAAGTGAATTTCTAGAACGGATATAAGCGCTAATTACAATGAAAGGATTAAAAGCCACAAGCTGGGTTTCACGCGGCGATAATTAATGAGGAATCTAGGTATTCCAAGAATTGGCCGATGTTATCCGATCAAAAATCCTCTCGAGTGCATTTGAAATGAGAGTTTACGAAATTACATATTTACACCTAAAATGATTTGAATATGTTAAATACCATTTAACACGTTTAGTGTATTTAATATCCTTTTTATCGTGAGAATCTTGATAATCCAATTAAAACCGTTTTATAATGATGAAATAAAGCATACAAAAATTTAGCGTATCTTATTTCGATGAATTAATCAAATTATCAATGATTGTTTATGGACCGTAATTACAGATAATCCAATGTAGCGTTAGCAATATAATTAGCGAAGTGTGAAACCAAATCTGAAATAAACAAATATGAAACTGAATGTTATTTGTATTTATTATTATCTCAAATCATCCGATATTTCCAATAATTACTCTTAATATTTTGACAATTGACGTCACGTATTGGTGATTTTGACGTTAAACATGACGTGTCGGTCAGGGGTGACCGATGCGTCGCGACGTCTCAAATTTAATGTAATCGAATAATTAAGAGAAGAAAAAAATTGAATAACATTGTTATTACAATAATTAGAAAATTGAGAGCTCACACTTTACAATTAGCTACTCATATCTCTATTAATTAGAGGTTCAAGGTTCACATGTTAATTTTTATAATTTAAAAATTAATAATTCCACAGCCTACCTAAACAAAAATTTCCAAATACTTGTAACTCTATTAGCAATCTATCGTTAAATATGAAGGAAACTTCAAATGACGGTAATCAATTCCCTGAAGTGTACATCCATCAAAGTGCTAATGAGAAAAAAATTATATCGATACTAAAGACATTAACGAGTCGCAAATTGCAATAATAATCAAGGAGTTAGTACGTTTTAGGCATACAAAAGAAGGAACAAGTAGTCGATGAACGAGATTTAGGAAGAAGAAAGCTGGGGGACGTCTTCCCTTGGGTAATTGACTCTTCCGTGGGAGGATGTTAAACGAGCAATCGCGTGTCCTGATCGCTGTAACCGGGAAGAGAAGGAAGGGATTGCCACGTGGCTGTTGTCGATCGTTGGAGGCTGAGGAAGAAGCGATTCATCCGGTCCTATTGAATAGGATCTTCCTGGTAATTGTTGTCTGAGAATAGGTCGCGACGCGAACGGACGTAGGCCTGGTTTTGTTAGGACTGAATACTTTATCGGATGTTTCGTTATTGTTTCCGTGAGAGGGTGATTGATGTCGTTGTGATGGAAAAGATGGGGATAAGGACGTTCCATTGTGGGATTTAAATGGCACTGCCAATGGGGTGGATCAATTCGGAAATTATGGACGTACTCGAGTGTTTTTCGATAAAAACGTACATATACCTCATAAATATTATTTGAAAAAAAAATTTCCATTACTTTAACAGAAATACTTTCGAATATTATTTCAAAAGAATGACAGAAATTGAAATGTTTGTAATACCATTCCAAGATGAAACGTAATTTTGAAAATATAAAGCAATCAGGAAGCCAATAAAAAACTGAATTTCAGTAACTATGAAAGTTTAATGTTAAAGTTCGTTGAGTATTATTCAACGGTTTATTGTTTAACAGCTTCTACTCGTTAAATTTCAGTTTTATTTCGAATCTTTTATAGAAACTGCCTCAATAAAAGTTGAACACTTCGGAAGGAAGTTTCGAAAGTTGTTAGAAGGTACACGGTAATCGTGAGAATGACGTCGCATCTCAAGAATTACAAATTTGTTGGTTGAAAAATCTCGTAGATTGCCGACAACGGTCATCCTTTAATTATATTGAAAGTTCTACTAAGTTTTAAAGGGTTGTAATCTCTGATAAAAGAAGAATGTTCATGAAAGAGGATCTTCTGTAAAAAATCAGAAAAAGAAAAATACTTGCAAGAAGTAAGAAAAGACAGAAAGCAGTATGAAGTTCTGAAATTATTTCTTCTAACAGAAGAAGTCTATTTTGAGATTTCAAACTTACCCTAAAATATTATATAAAAGAATTTGTTTAGTCCCTGTATTCGAATGGAATATTTCAAATGTTAAATTAGAAAAATTGCGCACCGTGTCAGAACCTTTAGATAAAATTTCGATTTTAGATAAAAATCTAATCTCTATCGAATTTCACTGGCGACAGAATTTCAAATAGCGTACCTCACTGAAAATCTCCCATAATTAAACCCGCATTCGCATCATTGGCGTCCCTTCGTCTTAATAAAGAATTTCCTTGCTGTGAGAATTTTTTCCCCTTTCCTCATCCCCTAACCAACTACGCAACAGTCGTTAACCACGGCCCGTGAATACAGGGAGACGCGTGCTCACGCTTGCACGAACAACCACCTTGATCCTGTATATACCTATACCAGTAAATAAAAGTGAGAAAAAGAGACAGACATTTCGTAGACCGGTGGCTGGAAAATAAACGTCAAGGCATACGCTTCTACACGACTAACCGACAGTTATACACCTGCGACGACGCCTCCACACTCGCTCGAGGACCTCTACAGACCAGACGGTATTTGCACGATCCAGCCGACACCTTCGTTCAACCGTGTTTCATCCTCAAGTATAAAAGCACGAAGAAACGTTGTTTGATTCGAGTGCTCGGAACAGCATCCTAGATACACACTGCCATCCATAAGCATTAGGACATTTATCAAATTTGTCTGTGCCCAAACATTCCAAGTTAAGAACTCTTTCTTGAAAATTCTAAAATTGGAGCGTGTAAAGACGATGAAATAATTTGGAAATTTTCCGCTTTGCAATTTAATAATAGACCGGAGGTAAATTGAAATCAACCGCACTACGTCCAAGCGACAAGTGCTATTTAATGCCATCACCCAAAGGATATCATGGCAAACTTTCGACACGTTAGAATGACTTTCTTTAAACTCATACACGAATTAATCGTAGCTAAAGGGTTAAACGTCATTCGAATTCCTGGCGAAGCGAAGCAGCCTGGCTAGCTGAATCGATCTCTTTAGGGGACGGGTTGTCCATGCAGAAATCAAAGTCACTTGACGCGGTGAATTCGAAGGAATTTCATTTGCTGGACCCTCTGGACCGACTAATTCGCGTGACGCTACTCCGGCTACCGGTACAACTTTGTAATTCGGTTCGTTCCCAGCTATCGATTGCTCTCCAGAGTATTTCCGGTCCGTCTTGGAAGGGGTACCGTGTCTGGTGAAAGTATCTTTCAAGTATTCGATCGGCAGACGTTTATGTTCAAATTTTTATCAATTTGCATAAATAATAAAAGTTTGGAGGGTAGCAAAATAGTAAATTTCTATATAATCATTTTTCAAAAAGTTCGAAGGGTATTAAAAAAAAATCTAGTCAGTGAAATATCATCGCGATAAATCAAGCAATTATTGAAATAAACAACAAATCTTTCACTCTCGACATTAACGCCCGAAAGTGGCTCTTAAATGACCCAAGCTTGGTCGTACGAGGGTTCATCTGTTCAAGATTGGTGAATCCACCCTCGTTGTTCCTATGATTTATACCAGACTTGGTCTATGCGTGTTCCTTTAGCAAAAGGGAAAGAAAAATCGGACGGGAACGATGGTGTGGGTAAATTAACGACGGATACGTATGTCTCGACACCGGTAATTCCCTCGACGCCGGCCGTAACGACGCTTCTGAACGTGCGTAAGCGTGCTCGCCAGGCTTTGGCCACGTACGTCTGCTCGGCTGGAATTAAATGTCCGCCAAAGGACGTAATAGTTCGCGAGAATGGCCGTTGCACACCGAGCTAACGAAGTTAATCGCTTTCAACGTGCTGGCTGAGAAAAAAGTCGCGAACACTGCCATCCTCTTCTTCGCCGCGAAACCGGTGAAAAAGCGGGCGAAAATAAACGGTAACTTGGACCTGTAATTACGTCGCGACCCGCGCCATTCGTTACATGACGATTTAATCGGAGAACGTGAGTGAAAATGATG